GGGACACTATAGTCACCAGAAGGGACACCTCCAAGTGGCCATTCCTCAGATGGCCACTGGAGGAGCTACCTGGCTCAGGGCTGCACAGTAAGCAGCCCTGCCATTCAGCGTCTCTACGCTCTGCATGGAGACGCTGAACTTTCCTCATAGAGATGCATTGATTCAATGTATCTCTATGAGGAGATCCTGATTGACCAAAATCAAGCATTTGGCCCCGCCCCATTGTTAGGGGTGCAGTGGAGGTCAGTATAAAACAAACTTACCTCCTTCTGTGTATGGGCAGCGTCATTTTTAAATGACAATTCAGTCGCATTCATGTATGTTTGGTCATCTACTGATTGGCATTTGATCACATGCATGTTTGGGCATTCAGTCTATGGGCCCTATGGGAAAGCATTGTATTGGCTAAAAATCGGCCATTTGATGTCACAAAGGGGGCAGAACCAGAGTTGCCAGACCCGCGCGGCACTTGAAATAAGGTGAGTTTTATACTTTTATAGGGCAGACAAGCCACCTAAATAGTGGGTTTAGCACTATAGGATCAGGAATACATGTTTGTGTTCCTGACCTTATAGTGATCCTTTAAGTTATAAAAGTTCTTTGTTCAGAAAAGCAGAATAAACAGAAATTTTAAACAGCTTCGTCAGTTTCAAAATAATATTGGGACCATCTTGTAAACATTTAAGCAGATATTTCTGTGATATGGCATACTTTTCATCATGACTCATTCTATTCAGAATGAAACGTTCTACATACATGATGAATACATTCTTCAGAAAATGTATATGTAAAAAAAAAACCCAAAAAACAACCTTTAACCCCTTATGGACCAAACTTCTGGAATAAAAGGGAATCATGACATGTCACACATGTCATGTATCCTTAAGAGGTTAAAGTGGAAATTTCCCTTTTTTCAAAAGGAAGAATAATAAAATATAATTTCTATGTGTATGTCTATCTTCAACAAAAAGAAAGTGTAACAAGCGCCTCAAATTAAACAGTGATAACAAATGTGTCAAACTGGTATACACACGTGCTTTCCCCCAAACACTTAAACATATAAACCAAAAACATAAAGATTTACCAGTAAAGGAATAAACCTTGTGACACAGTGACACAATAAATATAACTACAAACGTATATTGCAAAGAGTTGGTACCCTGGATCACTCGAGGATACCTTTACTCAAACATCTGGAGTAGTTCGGGTGCCTACTGCCTGCTTCAATCTACCTCAGCAACAGGAGCCAAAACTACTGCCTGTTCCAGCCTCTCTCTGTGGCAGCAGATTAACCTGGAGACAGACCAGCACGCTGCCCCAATCTTTCCGAGGTAACATCAGCTTCACCTGGAATCACACCTGCTATTTGTATCTGCCTTTCCCACAGCTCCCACAGGAGCCAGACTTGCCTTCTACACAAATCACATCAGTTTTTGGCACCTGAACGACTCCAGACATTTAAAGGGACACTATAGTCACCTGAACAACTTTAGCTTAATGAAGCAGTTTTGGTATATAAAACATGCCCCTGCAGCCTGACTGCTCAATCCTCTGCCATTTAGGAGTTAAATCCCTTTGTTTATGAACCCTAGTCACACCTCTCTGCATGTGACTTGCACAGCCTTCCATAAACACTTCCTGTAAAGAGAGCCCTATTTAGGCTTTCTTCATTGCAAGTTCTGTTTAATTAAGATTTTCTTATCCCCTGCTATGTTAATAGCTTGCAAGACCCTGCAAGAGCCTCCTGTATGTGATTAAAGTTCAATTTAGAGATTGAGATACAATTATTTAAGGTAAATTACATCTGTTTGAAAGTGAAACCAGTTTTTTTTTCATGCAGGCTCTGTCAATCATAGCCAAGGGAGGTGTGGCTAGGGCTGCATAAACAGAAACAAAGTGATTTAACTCCTACATGACAGTGAATTGAGCAGTGAAATTGCAGGGGAATGATCTATACACTAAAACTGCTTTATTTAGCTAAATTAATTTAGATGACTATAGTGTTCCATTAATCTGAGTAAAGGTATCCTCGAGTGATCCAGGGTATTAACTCTTTGCAATATACGTTTGTATTTATATTGATGTGATCACTGTGTCACAAGGTTTATTCCCTTACTGGTATATCTTTGTGTTTTTGGTTTGTATGTCTATCTTTGGTTTGTGGAATGTTTCATTGACTCCTTAATAATGCTTTAACTCCATTAAAAAGCTTAATGTAATGCAGGAAATAAAACTGTATTTAACAAGGACTATTGATGTAAACCTTGCTGTAGTGGCAGTGGCGTAACTAGGGTTCTTATGTGGTGACAGCTAGCTAATATACACATCACAAACAGCTAGCACACACACACATCACATACAGCTAGCTAATAGAAACATCACTAACAGCTAGCACACACACACACACACACACAACATCACATGACATACGGCTAGCTAATACAAACATCACAAACAGCTAACACACACACACATCACATCACATACAGCTAGCTAATACGCACACATCACAAACAGCTAGCACACACACACACACACATCACATACAGCTAGCTAATATACACATCACAAACAGCTAGCACACACACACATCACATACAGCTAGCTAATAGAAACATCACTAACAGCTAGCACACACACACACACACACACAACATCACATCACATACAGCTAGCTAATACAAACATCACTAACAGCTAGCACACACACACATCACATCACATCCAGCTAGCTAATGATCACTAACAGCTAGCACACACACACATCACATCACATCCAGCTAGCTAATACAAACATCACAAACAGCTAGCACACACACACATCACATCACATCCAGCTAGCTAATACAAACATCACAAACAGCTAGCACACACACACATCACATACAGCTAGCTAATACAAACATCACAAACAGCTGGCACACACACACACATCACATCCAGCTAGCTAATACAAACATCACAAACAGCTAGCTAATACACACACATCACATACAGCTAGCTAATACAAACATCACAAACAGCTGGCACACACACACATCACATCACATCCAGCTAGCTAATGATCACTAACAGCTAGCACACACACACATCACATCACATCCAGCTAGCTAATACAAACATCACAAACAGCTAGCACACACACACATCACATCACATCCAGCTAGCACACATCACAAACATCACATCACCAGCTAGCTACATCACAAACATCACATCACATCCAGCTAGCTAATACAAACATCACAAACAGCTAGCACACACACATCACATACAGCTAGCTAATACAAACATCACAAACAGCTGGCACACACACACACATCACATCCAGCTAGCTAATACAAACATCACAAACAGCTAGCTAATACACACACATCACATACAGCTAGCTAATACAAACATCACAAACAGCTGGCACACACACACACACATCACATCCAGCTAGCTAGCATGCTGCTGCTTTATGGTTAGCTAGGGTGATTATCCCCATACAGACAGAATTTAGAGGGTGTTTTTTGTCCACTGAGAGGTTTATTCAAAGGTGTAGAGGAGACATAACTTCAGTGAAAAGGTTGTGGCTTTTATTGTAAAAGTGCCTTAAAGCAGAACTGTAATGTATCTGAAAATAACAGCTCCTCATTTCCTCACCTCAGTAAATGCTGCAAACGGCTTACTGGACTGGGAAGTGCAGTGGAGGTAAGTAAACAAAAAACACTTACCTTTGAGGTATCTCATTGTCCAGAGAGATGTCATCCCCCATGATGCTCCAGGCCACTCATATGTGTTCAGGCATTTACCGAGAAATGGCACACAAGCACAAGTGCTCCTGCATAATACCCTAAGGTGCTCTAGCATGTATGAAGCTGTGTTGGTTAATTTAATTTGCATGGTATGCCATATCTGTGCCAGGACAGCAAGGCATATGGTTGATAAAAAGAATAAATAAATAATTAGCACAACCCATTGCTAACTTTTGGTTATTCATTGCCAGAGAAAATGGTCAGCATCTATGCAACAAAACCAGTACTGTAAGATGTGGTCGTTTTAGTATTAAGACCTGTTTCTATAAAAAGTCACAGAATTTCGTATGATTTCATTTGTCTCAATTCTGCGGCATTTTGGATGTTAAAATTGTTGGGCCGTTCACTGTATTTACTAACAATCAAATGGTACCCAAATTGAGCTGAATGGATTCCTAATCTATTCAAATGTGTATCATTGCTTTAGTGAAATTGCTGTGAAAATAGCTCAACCAAATTACAGTCAAATTCCCGTGTTAAAAGAAAGAACCCCCCATGCTTATAAGATAAATGTAAGGTTTTAGTGTGATTTAGGGTTTAGATATTGTTTTAGAGCTAAGGGAGATTGGGGTAGAGTTATGATGATATGCAGTTCGTAAGGTTACCACTGGCTGTCAGAGACACTTCCTCATGCCTGTGCCATTCTACAGCTTGTCTCTCCTCCTCATATGTGTCTCATTGTGGCTTCAATATTAATAGGGCCGGCCTTAGGGGTGTGCCAGCTGTGCGGCCAAACAGGGCGCCATGGCAACGGGGGTGCCATGAACTTGCTCATCCATCTCCTTCTTTAAAGCCCTATGTTGACCCCCTCCCACACACACAAAACATCTCTATCCCACCCTGAACTATGTTCCCTACAGACTACATAACCTACACAGATACACAATACAGTCATTACACACACACACACACACACACACACACATACACACTACAGACCCTAGCCACAAATATTACACCACAAACACACACACAAACAGACCTATTCATACACATACTACACCAAAAACACAACACAAGGGGGGCGGGGCCTGGCTGTCATGGAGGAAAGTCGCACCTCGAGTGAGCTCCCTCACTATTTTGTTGTAAGCAGCTTTCAGCAAGCTCATTTCACTCCAGAAGGGGATAACCCAGCAATGTTGCTCCTACCTGACCACCATGACATGCTTAATAGCTATTAGCGACTTGACAGAGGCTTACTCACCTCTTTGTGGCAAGTGCGTCCTGGTAATCACCAGGCGGGGGAGGCAGCCTACTTTCCGGCAAGAGCCCTGTAACCCCCCCACTCCCCTCGGACCGGACCTGGTCCACCCCTGGGAAGCTACCTGGAGTTAGTGGAAGCGCAGAGCACAGCCACCCAAGCTGACAAACTCGTCTGCGACTCTTCCAATATGGTGGAAGCCGCGTGTCCTCCTGGCCCCAGCAAAGTATGGCTGGATATTGAGTCTGGGCTGAACAGACTCTTTGATCTTTTTTGAAGCAAATAACCAGCAGGAAGCTCCAACAAGCTCCACCTCTGATAAGTAAATTCTCCCGAGGAAGACCGGACCCCGGTCCCCACCAGAATTCACCAACGCTACCTGTGGAAAAGGCCCCAATATGGCAGCGAAGCAAGCGGCGGAGATTGCCTAACAAAACAGTGGCACAAAGGGAGGTACCTATGCAGACCGAAGCTAGGTCAGATGGAGAGCCTGTGATACTGCAGGGGGACCTGCTACTGGGATATGCCATGTACCCCCGTCCCACTTCAGCACATAAGCCTGCAACGTTCATCCAAAGTTATGGACAGCTCTCTGCCCATGGTGGGCATTGGGTGAATGGGGATTGAGGGACTAAGCAATACAGAGCTTTATGGGAAAAGGCTGTGTTTACATTACTGTCGTAAGCCACCAATGGAGGGGCTTCCTGGTTTGTAGTCCTGCAAAGAATGCAGGATCAATGTTCAGCATGTACACATTCTGTATGGAGATGCCGAACGTCCTCATATTGTTGCATTGAGTCAATGCATCTCTGGGTAGGTATTGATTGGTGCAGCTAGGCAATACATACTACCCTCTTTATGCTACCATATGTGGAAACATTGGATTGGCTGGGATTATCAGTACTAATGATCTCAGCTAATGGAGGCAAGGCGGCTGCAGGGACACAGGAGCTTTATTAAAACTTAATTAAGAGGGGCCCGATAATCTAAATTGCTATTGTAACACATGTTCTTATGTATATATAATAGTATATGTTCCTAGGTATATATTAATATCAAATGCTTTGCAATGTTAGGGCAATGTATAGGGCAATGTATAGATAGAATGTAATGCTTTAAGTGGAGCTTAGAGTATCTCTTTAACAACATTCAAAAAGTCAACATATTTTTCAAAATTTAAGAAAGTGTGCATTTCAATGTAACAGTTCCTCCAGACCAAATAAAAGTCAGATCATTAATGAAGCATTGTGCGCCAATAAGATTTAATGCTGTGTGAGTGTTTATACCAGCATAAAGTTTGGCAAAAAATTTACCAAAGGTAAGTAAGACTGGTGTCATAGTATTAGCATTTTTGAACATGATTATTTTAAAATCTGCACATTTGCTACAACTTCTGCTAGTACAACAACTGTCATAGTATAGGATACCACAACACGCAGTACTTGAATCCATACTATCCTAGATACAGAAAGGATAGAAGTGTATTAGCGGTCCTTGGGGTGGCCGGACCTTACACAGCCAGAGAGGATAATCAAAGACAAGCCAAGGTCGAGGGATACCAGCAGACAGATAAAATTAAAATCTATGCTGGGTCAGGATACAAAAGATCAGAATAGTCAGAAAGAGCCGAGTCAATAAAGATAAATTAAATCACTATAAATGGACTACTGGGACACTAAATAACCACAACAGTGCAATGTGCTACAGAGGTTGTTGGGTTTATGTAATAATTGATGCTGGAGTAGCGACTTGTGTAATTTCCATGCATCCAAAATGTATGTGTACAATGAGGCTGAAATGACACTCCAGTTTTGCATGCTTAATTTGATGCAGAGTTTTACAGTTACAAAAGGATGCTGGTACAGAGCATCCAGTGTAATTTTTAATATTGGAATGATGGAGGTATAAAGAGAGTGGATCCACCTCAATATTGTTGCCAGAATGACGTGGATATGAGGATAAGAGGTGATCTGCAGGGCCGTAACTATTCCTAGTTAACACAGGTCCCCGGTGCAAGAATCAGATAAGTGCCCTCCTTACTGACCCTCCTTCCTCCCCCCTAAACAATATACCTGAGTGGGTTGTGTGTGGTGCCTGAGTGTTATTGTGCATGCTTTGGCTGAGTGCGATTCTGTCTCATTCTGATGGGAAAATATGTAGTAAGAGAATGGTATCAGGGTGTGGTCAGACCAACTAATAGACCCTATGTCTGCTTGTTTAGACCTATGTATTAGAGAGGAATCAAACAGACATAAATCGATTCTGGAGTAGCGCTGATGAGGGATTCTGGAGTCATCAACCTTATGGGTAATGGACAAGTGTGTATAATCCCTAAGACTCGGGTTTTGTGCAGAATCATATAGGTCTGTTTAACAACCAGGAAAACGCCCGCCTGTCATGCGGTAACACTTCTGGGTTCGGCACTCCGCTGTGCGGAGCTGGACCCCGCCCCCCTCTGACACGGCTCTGACGGTATTTAGGGAGACCGCGCCAGAGAGAGGGGGCTTGGTGACTGTGTGCGAGCTAATGTGTGAGCTGCCTCCGCGAGACCGCGGGCTCCACAGGCTCAGCTACTGGGAACTACTTCCGCCAGACTTAGGCTCTCCACAGGGTCTGGCAATGTGGGTCCGACTTCCGAGTGTAAACGCCGGCTCCTGGAAGACGCCGGCTCTCAAGCTCTGATGTTATCTTAGCCATCGGGCTAAGACAAGTAAGCTCATGTTATAGAGGAATGCTGGAGAACGGAAACTCACTTTACAAGTGGACATTATCTCTTTACTATTGGAGGACAACTAACCTTAAGTATACCTCTCATCTAATTATCTACAATCTCATTTAATAATGAACTAAGTCTTGCTTTCTGAAATCTTCTCTACTACAAGCTACTAATTATTTGAAGGACAACTCTCATCATGCTTATACACTATGCTCATTCACTATGAACTGTTTCTTGCTTTGCAATTACACTTAGTGCTTCAAGTTACTAATTATATGGAGGACAACTCCCATGATGCCTATTAGCTATGAACTGTTCTTGCTTTGCAACTATTCTCAGCTACTTGCTTAATATTACTATTGAAGATTATTCTCATTAACTAAAGAATGTTACTTAATGCATCTCTGAGGAAATACTTAATAATGAACTTTGTGTTATTGATTACTTGCACTTCTTCTTATTGGATTATTGCCTAAATGCAATCATTTAAGTTTAACACTTATTAAAACTTCGCTTGAATCAATTTACCAGCGATTCCTCTTTTCTTAAAGCTACAGTATTGATACTTTAAAGTTCTCTGTATCTTCTCTCATTTAATTAGGGAGGTTTACAAGCTGCAGTTGAGTTCCAAGCCAAATCACCCAAGTAGCGTAACACCGCCCTACTCATTTTGGAGGTTTGAGCTGGAGTTACTCTTGAGGTGTCCAGCATGGGATCTGCACACAAAATTCCCATACACCAATAAAGAGGCCATCTTAAGTGACTATATTTGTTTAAAGCATTTTTCTAGAAAAGGGAGTTGGTTGGTGTTAGGCATGTAAAGGTTTATAATTCTGATACAGTACATTGTTGCGTTTGCCCACTAAAATTATGAGTCTGCCTTCCGTGTTGGTAAATTTGTTTGTAAGAGAAAATGCAGGACCTCTGTGCAACTGCCACCCCCTCAGATTTCTTATCTGCGTAAGAGTGGTAAGCCAAGGGATATGTCTTCGACTGAAGGGAGGTGGACTTGTGCCTACAAAAGAGGGTTTCTTGGAGACACACAATTGTAGGGTTTGCTTGATGAATGAAAGACTATAGCCTCTGATGACATGGCCGCTAGTGCCACCAAACGCGTAAGGCGGGACCTTCCAACAATTTCCCAGGAGTAGATGATCGAATAAAACACGTGCACACGCCGGGTCGATCATGGGTGGATTGAGTTTACACACGGCAGAAATACAGGTCCAATTTATTGAGCACGTGAACTGGAGATCCTCTATTTTACAGCCAAAGCACCAGGAACACTCAAACACCGCAGCTTCCTACCCTCCTGGGGCCAGCAGCAGGTAGGACAGTGAGTACCAATTCACTTTCTCTGGATACTTTTGTTGTGAACTGTATCAATTTCAGTGCCACTGTTTAGAGCACAGTGAACTTTCATTTGCAACTTTTGACAGAGGCAGTGATGGGACAGAGACAGTGGTGGGACAGAGGCAGCGATGGGACAGAGACTGTTACCAGGAAGGTTTTACCTCTGGATTCTCCACTGATATTACGCGATCTCTGTGGGATATTGTGAAGCTAATATTTGCTTCTGGTTTAGATATTTATTTATTGTGACTAGGATTTTATATATTCACATTGTTTGTAGCTGCTAATTTTATGCATTTTTAAAAAATTCTTTATTTTTCTTGTTAGTCTAGTAACAGTAGCTCTATACTATGTACAGTAGATTAGTCATTAGGATTTAGGCTTATACGGCATATTGAAACAACAAAAAAAAAGTGTTAAATGGTAAGCTTTGACGGGGAGCTCAGTGTGCATTTAAAATTTCGCTGGAGGTTTCGCACCAAATGCGCATCTTGCTAAAAGAATAAACCAAGTTATAAAAAGGGAAGGGTCCGTGGAGCTACATCATACATTACACTGAGAGTCCATGCTGTTACACAGAAACCGTCTCTAATGCTTGGGAGAGGTATGCAGGCCTCAGTCCGATGAGTTATCTGTAGTCAGCCGACACCAGTTCTGCTGAGCCGTTGACATTGTGTAAAGGTCTCTTGGTTCAGGTTTCCCTCCCCTGTGGGTCGAAGAGGGGCCCAGCTGGTTACCATCCTCGCTGTATCCGGGTCGGCATCGCGACCGGCATTGTCGGTTCTTGTGTGCGGGGTTGCGCTTTGCTTGTTAAAGATTGCTGGGGCAGTTGAGAGGTATGCAGGCCGGGCATGCTGGCGGGTCCACTCTGGAGCATGAGGGCACGAGTGCTAGCGTCCAATAATCCTGGCGCCGTTTCCTGCCATGCTGGTCTTCTGCTTTGTTCCCCTTGGGGGGCCGCTCCGGAGCCACGAGGAGGATACCCATTCAGGTGGCGCCGGGTTGCCGGGCGGATCCAGGCCGCCACCCTCATCGCTAGCTTAAAGGCCTGTCTCCGGGTGTTGAGCTGTGTCCAGAGGCTGGCACGGAGCTGGTCATAAAACTCCGATGTGTGCTTGGGAGGCTTGGTGAGTGTGCGCTTTTTCTTGGGCTGCGTCTGAGCCGCCATCTTGGTTGGGCCTTTGCAGTCCCGTTTGGCTGTTGGCTTTGTCACTTGGTTGGGTATTGATTAATCGTCCCCAGCTAGGACCGGGATGTCCCCCGCCGGTCCAGAGAAGGGGGAAGCAGGGCTGTTATGTGTTCACGCTTGTGAGTGTGGCCCGCGCCGGGAGATCTGCCGCTTCCCCGGGGCCTCAGACCCCACTCTGGTTTAGGCCGCATGGCCGGCGTGGGGTTTCCTGCAGCACTTCGGTGCCAGACAGGTACCATTTTGTGTCTCTTGTTGTCTTGAGTCAGTCCCTGGACACTGTGTGCCGCCAGCGTTAGCAGTTCAATCAGTATTGT